TGCTCGAGTACGGCCAGACTCTGGCTAGCTGCTCTGTGTTGAGGCTGTGGTGTCTAGACCGTCGAGTGTTCATTTGTTGCTGGTGAATGTCGATGGTGTTGAAGATCTGATGACGTTCCTCATTAATTGACTGACGATTAAGCCACCGATGATTTGATGGTTTATATTACAAGCTTCTGACTTGCCAACGAGCAACATTTAGCAGGTTACCTCTCGGCCGGTCTGATTGATCTTGCACCCTCGGGAAGATATAGTAGTTGTAATTAGCGTATTTAGGATCAGCACCGCTCCTGTGCCAGTTAAGTTACGGGCTCACCATAGCCCGTGCTACTTGGAACTTGTTCCGAGTAGCTGAATCTATAACACCACCAGCATATAGGATCTGTGTAGAACTTCTTGGAATGTGGAATTCATGAGGGATAACTTATGTGGAATTAAGGCACATTGACTGCGCTGAAACTAACGAGAATTTAGAGCAAGAATATTACTTATTTTAGTTGTTACAAATGTGTGTGAAGCGTTTATGGTGAGTGATGAGAGGTTGGCCCAGCAGTTTGTGGGTCATTGTTGCCTTAGAGTAATATACCAGCAGTGAAAGATGTGAACACACACACACATCTCAAGAGAGCAGCAGTTTCCTTGAAGACTCCTCGTGGGTGTGAGATTATCCCAAGTACTCAAGGTTCCCATCAACCACCCTTGTCATTGTCATGATCGAGGCTACACTGGCTTTGTGGAGGGTTATCCACTCATAACCTAGGCTCACGGACCATTATTTGCTCAACTACATCCAATAAATGTTCCTTCAGTTCTTTGGGAGGAATTGACTGTTGTGTTGTGTACCTGTGTTGAGGTGTGAGTATCATGACAGGGAAGAGAGCGAAGGGTTGCCGGGCTGCTGGCTTACATTGTATGAAGGTTTTGTTAAGAGTTAGGATGGTCGGGCCGTGCTAAGTGGAGCCTGGCCTCAGGCTCCACTTAGCGGGTGTTCGGGGGAGTAGCACACTGCTCCAACACTCTCCAGGTAGGCTCCAGGGTAGGCAACCACCCCTGGACAACACGACTGGCCGGCCGGCGTCAGGTCACCAACACAAGAGCAGCCTCAACACACACAGTGTTGCGCTGTTGTTGGGAGCGGAACACTGCGTGTGTGTGTGTTCACATGCCACATCAATTGTAACCGCAACTTGGCTACCATGATTGGGAGTAAAGGCTGGGCGAGCGGGCGGGTGGTAGGGAGGAGCAGGTAATGAACACCAGCGGGGAGCGAAAGTGATAATTGTCAGTCACCAAGCCCAGCCGCCGCCTGTCACGCCTAGTCACGTCTGTACGCATCAACTAATGATCTCACGCGCGCGCGCGCGCACAAAAAAAAACACATGGGGTTTCGTAACTGAGCGGACAGCGCGCAGGACTCGTAATTCTGTGGCCAGAGTTAAATTCCCAGACCAGGCAGAAACAAATGGACAAAGTTTCTTTCACCCTGATGCCCTTGTTACCTAGCAGTAAATAGGTACCTGGGAGTTAGACAGCTGCTACGGGCTGCTTTCTGGGGATGTGTAACAAAAAGGAGGACCGGGCCGCGGGGACGCTAAGCCCCGAAATGATGTCAAGATAAACTCAAGACCAGCAGGGAAGTGAGGAAGTGACGTCATAGCTACAAGAGCGAGGTCAATATTAAAGACTGAGTCACTACATCCTGAGGTACCAGCGGTGACTCACCTGCCTGTAGTAGTAGCAGCAGCAGCGGCGGGTCTCCTGCCATGGTAGCTGTGGGGGGTATATTGTAGTGTTATGGGTGTCTTGTATGTTGTGGTTGTATTGTTGTAAATGTGCCACGGTTGTGTTGTAGACCAACATGTATACGCGTCAGTAGCGGCCCAGATAGAGACTCAGGGCCCCGCGCCAGGAATATCCCTGCAAAAAAAATAATAATGGAGAAATGGCTACTTAATTTCAACCCAGATAAATGTAATGTAATGCGTTTGAAGCAGTAAAGGAGGAAGGAGGGGGGGGTTAAGCCGATTAATTGGACAATAGGAAATGGAAGGCGGAGATTATAATGCCGGGAATGTCCTCAAGGTGGACTCGGCGCGCACCGGTTGATCGAGAGCCCTTTTGGAGGCATTTATCAAGTTTTGTGTCGAAGGGTGAAATGAGGGCTGGTGGCGCCCTTCACATTTAGAGGAAGGCTGCTGCCAAGTGTGGGGATGTGTGAGTGCTGACACGACTGTGCTGTAATGTGCCGCCGCTCTCACGCACAGTTAATACTTTCATGTTCTGCCATCCAAATATTACGGAAATGGTGGTGGTGGTTATGGTGCAGTGGTTAATGTGTAGTGTTGGCTGCTGCTGTGTTGTGTGGCTTAGTCCTGTTGGACCAAGCTGTCCCAAGTGGAGCCTGGCCCCAGACCAGGCTCGGGGAGTGGAGCCTGGCCCCAGACCAGGCTCAGGGAGTGGAGCCTGGCCCCAGACCAGGCTCGGGGAGTGGAGCCTGGCCCCAGACCAGGCTCGGGGAGTGGAGCCTGGCCCCAGACCAGGCTCAGGGAGTGGTACAGGTGTGCAGGAATGCTGGAGGTGATACAAACAATGATCACTCAGGTGGAGGACTGTTAGTGGACACGAGTGAAGGAGGCGACCTCGGGCGGTGGTGTTACCGTCACCTGGCAGCGGAGAACACGGCTATTACCACACACAATGTTCTAGTCTTACTCGCCCGCAACACTCACATTTTATATATATATATATATAATATATATATATATATATATATATATATATATATATATATATATATATATATATATATATATATATATATATATATATATATATATATATATATATATAATATATTGTAGTATTACTCACCCTCACCCGCAACACCTTCCCCACAAAACAATGGCCAGAGCCAGGATTGTATTCCTCATTATGTTTAAATGGAACAGGAAAGCAACTGCTTGTGGTATGAGTGACTTGTGAGCCTGGGACGCGAGAGAGGGGTCACTGATAGTATAGACGGCACCAGTGTTCTCTTGGGAGGCATTTACTCTCATCATATACTCTCTCAAAGCTAACACAATTTCTAAGCAGGTGTGTGAGGATTGTTGTTATAGATTCGGCTACTCGGAACAAGTTGCAAGTAGCACGGGCTATGGTGAGCCCGTAACTTACCTGGCACAGGAGCGGGGCAAGTAGCACGGGCTATGGTGAGCCCGTAACTTACCTGGCACAGGAGCGGGGCAAGTAGCACGGGCTATAGTCATCCCGAAGGCCTCATATCATGCACGATGACCTACATAAACGTACGAAATATTGCTTGGGACACATCAAGGTCAAGACACAACTCGAAGGTTTTGTGATGAGTCAGGCTGGGAGGTGTGTGATGAGTCAGGCTGGGAGGTGTGTGATGAGTCAGGCTGGGAGGTGTGTGACGAGTCAGGCTGGGAGGTGTGTGACGAGTCAGGCTGGGAGGTGTGTGACGAGTCAGGCTGGGAGGTGTGTGACGAGTCAGGCTGGGAGGTGTGTGACGAGTCAGGCTGGGAGGTGTGTGACGAGTCAGGCTGGGAGGTGTGTGACGAGTCAGGCTGGGAGGTGTGTGACGAGTCAGGCTGGGAGGTGTGTGACGAGTCAGGCTGGGAGGTGTGTGGCGAGTCAGGCTGGGAGGTGTGTGGCGAGTCAGGCTGGGAGGTGTGTGGCGAGTCAGGCTGGGAGGTGTGTGGCGAGTCAGGCTGGGAGGTGTGTGGCGAGTCAGGCTGGGAGGTGTGTGGCGAGTCAGGCTGGGAGGTGTGTGGCGAGTCAGGCTGGGAGGTGTGTGGCGAGTCAGGCTGGGAGGTGTGTGGCGAGTCAGGCTGGGAGGTGTGTGGCGAGTCAGGCTGGGAGGTGTGTGGCGAGTCAGGCTGGGAGGTGTGTGGCGAGTCAGGCTGGGAGGTGTGTGGCGAGTCAGGCTGGGAGGTGTGTGATGGGAATACATTGAACTATCCCATCAGAGTCAATTATTAATTCTGTGTGAGTAACTATATTTAATCTCTGATCATTGACCTCCAAGGGCGGCCTTGTGGCATCAGATCCATATAATTGTGTTTCCAGTGTGACTATGACACTAGGGTTATCTTGAGGTTATCTTGAGATGATTTCGGGGCTTTAGTGTCCCCGCGGCCCGGTCTTCGACCAGGCTTGTACCCCCAGGAAGCAGCCCGTGACAGCTGACGTAAAATAGGTACCTGGGTGTTAGTCAGCTGTCACGGGCTGCTTCCTGGGGGTACAAGCCTGGTCGAAGACCGGGCCGCGGGGACACTAAAGCCCCGAAATCATCTCAAGATAACCTCAAGATGGGTCTGGCTGGGAGGTGTGTGATGGGTCAGCCTGGGAGGTGTGTGATGGGTCAGCCTGGGAGGTGTGTGATGAGTCAGGCTGGAAGGTGTGGGAGTGACAGGTGTGGGAGTGACAGGTGTGGGGGTGACAGGTGTGGGGTGTACAGAGGCTGGAAACAGAAAAGTTGAGTGGGAAAGAATGTGAGAGAATGAGGAATTATAATACAGAAGTTGAGGGGAAAGGAGGTAGTGAGATGGGTTGTGTTGTGGCCAGGTGTTGTGAGGTTGTGTTGTGGCCAGGTGTTGTGAGGTTGTGTTGTGGCCAGGTGTTGTGGCCAGGTGTTGAGGGGGGGGGATTATCAGGGAAAAGCACCAAGCCATTACGACTATATAGCACTTTGAAGAGATAAGGATTTGGGATGGGACGAGGGAAAGGAATGGTGCCCTGCTTGATGGGGGTTCTGGGAGTTCTTTTACTCCACAAGCCCGGCCTGAGGCCAGGCTTGACTTGAGAGTTTGGTCCACCAGGCTGTTGCTTGGAGCGGCCCGCAGGCCCATATATCCACTACGACCTTAGTCCTGGGCGTTAGGTGAAGTGAGGCGAGGTGCTGAATGACAGCAGGGTTGGTGAGGGGGGGGGGGGTGATGTTTAGGGTGTAGGAACACTAATCATCATTCATCAACAACACTTCCTGTCCGTCAGGTGTTGACTTGTTGAGGCTCATCTGACCAGTCCTCATTACTTTACATCCGCGTTTCGTTAATTATTTCTTATTTGGTGGTACATATACGTTTTATGAGTGTTGTTGAGTGGGGTGGTTGTTGATGGGCAACCAGCAGTTAGCGGCCAAGGGTGATGTGGTGTGAGGCTTGTGGGTAGCCGGCCTTGACCCCGACCCCCTCACCGGGTCATTGTGGCGTCTGCTGGGGTCAGGCCCTGCTGCTGCTGCTCCCTGCTTCTTCTTGCAGCTCTACACGCATTAACATCATACAGCACACTCCTGGATTTTATGTGATAAGTGATACGAAAAGGAACCTGTATTTTAAGCCATTTTAGCGGAACTTTGTTTTTAATTTGGAATCCGTACTGGAATCTTAGTTTTATTGAAGTTTGAAAGTTATGGAGATACCGAACGAGGTGTTGTGGATGACGCAGGAGGCAGTGTGGGCCTCGCTGGATCGGGACGATATTCTCCAGTCGCTGGCTGGCCACTTCTCCATCCCTCAGCTGGTGGACGCCTTTCGGTTCATGAATGAGTGGATAGGCTGGAGGGCTGACCGCGAGGATGTCGTGCAGAGCCTTGCCTTCGAGGAGTCTCCCTTGAGCCCGTGTAGTTATAGAGGAAGCACCCAGCACCTCGCCGCTACCTCCACACCGAACACTGCCTTCGACAGGAAGACAGAATGGATCACGCCAGTAATGGTGAAGCACGGTAGGAGAGACAAGTGCGAGGTAAGCGGCCGCTGGAAACTGGGGGACGCCGATGTCGTGGAGGACAAGCCTCCTGATGCGGCTGTTGTTACAAGGGAGGTGGCTGCTCTTAGCCTCGATGAGTACTGGAACACAAGTAATTCTCCAAGTTTTGAATCATTCCACCCTCGTACTTCAGTTGAAGACACTAGATTCCCGAGGAAAAGTTCTGCCAATTCGACTATTCCACTATTAATTCCTGCCAAAGTTCACCACAACTTGAGCATTGACAGAGAGAAAGAGGGAGAACCCAAAGTGGAGCCGGCCAAGGAGCTTGTAGAAGTTGAAACAGTCGACCATTCGCTTGTCAAACTGGCATTCCGATTTGAGCAGCTTGAGAATCTTGAAAATCTAGACAATGGAGGATTAAAGTGCTACAAGATAAAGAGGTGTGCTACTCCATACGTAAGAGTATCGTTTAGTGGCAGCGGGGCTGACGACGACCCTGCCAGTCCCATCAACAAATGTTCTCCAGAGGCACACCTGCGGGCCTTCCCGCCATCCCCATGTGGCGCCGTGTCTGTCCACCACCTGTGCCGGTCCCCCACACCTACACACGATACACAAGATCCAGAACCACTCCAGGAGACTGACTGGTTTGTCCTTGAAAAAAAGAATATAGCTGTTCCTTTAGTAACTCTCAAAATCTGGAAGCTAATGAAGAATTTTTGGAATGAATTGCCGGAGTTTGTTAGCACAAAGGCAGTGTTCGGGTGTCACGCGTCCAAGAAGTGCATGCACAAGGAAGTCAAAAGTATAAACCGTCTCTTGGAGCAACTTCACGCTAGATTAAGATGGATTACTCCAGTCATCAACAAGGATTGTAGAACAATGTGTGATCATGACCTCAGTGTTGAGGACTACGCTTTTCAGGAGGCTGTAGAACACATGAAGTCTTGGCTTGTCAAATTTTTCATGGAATGCGAGTTCATAGGCTTCAACATGAGCAGTTTGTCGTCTTACAACTTAAACAGTACCTTGACAGTGCTAAACTCCAGTACGGTCTCCACTTGCAGTGAGGCCGTTGATAGGGACAGTCTCCAGCAGTCTTGTAAAACCGGGCAAGTTCTTGATACAAAACCTTTATTTACAGAAGGGAACCTGGAAGATTGCCCAACTGTAATTAAAAATGATTTGCTTTACTGGCTGTGGCAAGCAGTAAACTCAGACATGGATGAAGAATTAATAGTCCATTTCACAGCGTCACATTACAGTCTGCAGGAAGTCCATCAGTCTAGAACCATACTTGCTTCCTATAATTTCTCCTTGTCGTATATGAAGGGGGTGAGAGGCATCCTGTTTGAGATGCTGTCGGCCCTTCGCTCAGTAATAAACACGCAGAACAAGACCATCCCAAAGTTTGTAAGTGTTGATGTTAATAACAGACCGTCAGTGCGACCCATGAAGGCATCGAGTATAATAAAGGACCTGGAGGTGCTTGGGGACATGGCGCACACAATGACCACGAAGCTTAGTTGGCTGCTGCCAGAAGCTCGCCGTTACTCCTCCGCCATGGAAGCGGCTAGCAAGGGAACGCTTGAATCTCACTTGAGTGCTATTGGTAATACACTAGCCGATCTCAAAACTATGCTAGACTGGGAACTTGCTAGCTCACAACATGGCTCTGGGGCATCAGTTCTTGAGACGCCGGTGCCTATGGCGTGCAGCCAGCCCGCCTACATGTACCATACACGCACCTCTGACGTGACACGTGGAGGTTTGTTACAGTGTACTGAAGCAGAGACCACAGGAGGATACTGGCCAGGTAATGATGGATCTATTGGCAGCTGGTATGGGGTCAACATGGGTGAAGCAAAGATGGTGGTGGCTCCCAGTAACACGCTCCTCCACTCAACGTATCCCCCCTACACGTCTCTCCGTGAGAAGCACCCACAGGTGTGCGCACATACCTCTCGCCACCAACATATCACGGAGCAATGTGCCAAAGGTACTCTGTGAGTTACATAACCGTTCATGCCTCTATGCAAACAAATCAAAATATAAATATTTAATAATCGTATCTTTGTTTTATATAGTAAACACTCGTGAAGGAAACCACAAGCAGACATGTGCATATATGTAGAGTATACTTGTCTGCTGGTATTACAATACTTTACTGTAAATACTCCCAGCCCTATTTTATAGTCTAAAATATATTGAAATCAGAATGTCCTAGCCGGGCTCTTATAACGTGTATGACTTTTTAATGTTCGTATTGCCTTTTTGGTAACTAAATATTTTTGTAGGTTTACTATAGTAGACACGTGTATAGTAGTCCAAGGAATGGTTCAGTGTGCAGTCAAACTGAATGACTGTAGATGGTGTAGGGGGCTGTGCTGTAGTGCGCGTATGGCAGTAGGTCGTGGGCCTGATACACTCACCAAGCACTGAATGACTGTAGATGGTGTAGGGGGCTGTGCTGTAGTGCGCGTATGGCAGTAGGTCGTGGGCCTGATACACTCACCAAGCACTGAATGACTGTAGATGGTGTAGGGGGCTGTGCTGTAGTGCGCGTATGGCAGTAGGTCGTGGGCCTGATACACTCACCAAGCACTGAATGACTGTAGATGGTGTAGGGGGCTGTGCTGTAGTGCGCGTATGGCAGTAGGTCGTGGGCCTGATACACTCACCAAGCACTGAATGACTGTAGATGGTGTAGGGGCTGTGCTGTAGTGCGCGTATGGCAGTAGGTCGTGGGCCTGATACACTCACCAAGCACTGAATGACTGTAGATGGTGTAGGGGGCTGTGCTGTAGTGCGCGTATGGCAGTAGGTCGTGGGCCTGATACACTCACCAAGCACTGAATGACTGTAGATGGTGTAGGGGGCTGTGCTGTAGTGCGCGTATGGCAGTAGGTCGTGGGCCTGATACACACACCAAGCACTGAATGACTACACGCGGCGTCAAAACCGTGTAGGATTCTAATGCAATATTTTCACAAGATTTAAACCACCCAGATGACTGAATCTGTCATTTTATCTAAATCAATGATTTAATGAAGTATTTGTATTTTATTATTACTTATTATATTTTTTAATCGAATCGAGTACAATCGAATCCCATTTTATAAAGTAGTGAAAAATGAAACATAATCCCAGGACTTGATTATTAGTTTAATAGTTGGTGTAGTGAGAAATATTGTTTAATGATATCTGGTTGTGTAAATATACGGCATTTGTCTATATATATTATTGCTTTAAAATAATCGTTTCATATTTAAAAATTAGTACTGTACAGATGTTCAGCATTTTTGTTTTGTTTTAAGTGGTATAATTTCAGTAGCGTAATTTGGGTGGAGTATTAATGTTTAATTTCATTGCAGTAACAACGCCTCAGCCGCCCCAGAGACCGTGGATACCCCTCACAGAGTCCGACAGAACTAAACCTTCATGTGAGTACCAGCGCTCCTTGCCAACCCTGCTTCCTTAACACCACTCTCTACACACTTAACCCAACAGGTCAACATGCTCCTTTATTTTCTACCTGAACTAATTTGCTTCATTACTGAAAGTTTTTGCTTCATTCATTGCAACCTCTGTGGACATGGTCTAGATATTTGTAGATATTGCTGTGAGTGGACCTTTTTTTTTTTTTTTTTTTTTTCGGGGGGGGGGGGGGGGGGAGGGAGAGGCATAGGTGAAGGGAACTATAGAAGTGGGAAATACAGTGAGAGGTATGAAAGCAGGCGGGCTGTCCGCCTTGCTGACACGATGTGTGGGTGTTGGCAGCTAAGCTAAGCTGGCTCCCTCTTGTCAGGGAGCTGTGAGTGTGTGAGAGGTTCTTCACATGTTTCACCATATATGGATGTCCATAGATGACGGACGGAGAGCTGTGGGAAGGGAGGCAGGGAGATGGGGGGGGGGAGTGGTGTGGAGGGGGAGGGGGGGGGTGGAGAAGGGGGTGGGTGGTGGGGAGGGAGTTGGGGGGGGGTGGAGAAGGGGGTGGGTGGTGGGGAGGGAGTTGGGGGGGGTGGAGGGGAGGGAGTTGGGGGGGGTGGAGAGGCAGGGAGGCAGGGAGGGGGGTGGAGAGGCAGGGAGGGGGGTGGAGAGGCAGGGAGGGGGGTGGAGAGGCAGGGAGGGTGGAGAAGGGGGGGGGGGTGATCCTTCCCCCCTCCAACTTAATACAATCCAACTGAAAAGTGGAGTACCACAAGGTAGCTGCCTCTCTCCCACTCTATTCAACATGTATACAGCTGACCTACCCCAAGGTAGCTGCCTCTCTCCCACTCTATTCAACATGTATACAGCTGACCTACCCCAACATGGAGAATACATCACATACGCTGACGATGGGTGATTATTTGGGTGACGATGTCACTCAAATAATATGCCAACCGGGACCATCAAAGCCGCTACTAGGCGACAAGACCAAGGCAGCAATTGAACTCATAAACAACTTTGAGAAGCAATGGAAAATTAGCACAACTAAACAAGTTCCAGGTAATACACATTGCAAAAAGAAACCCGGACCCCATTATCCATGACAACAGCCCGATCCAATATGCAGAGGTAGGCAGAATACTGGGACCCATGATAAATAGAATAGGGATCAAAATTCATGTAAGGGACCGACTAAAAGCCAAAGCAGCCTTAGGAAAACTGAGGAGATTCCAAAGCCTCATTACAAACATTCAGATACACCTATATAAGGCTCTAGTTCGGCCGCATCTAGAGTATCCCCCAGTACCACTACTCACCTTGAAGAAAACTAACATGCAGACACTGCAAGCAGTGCAAAACAAGGCACTAATGGGGCACAAGGCACAAAACACCGTCCACCATATGATCAGACAATCCAGAAGCTTCATGAGCTCCTGAACATACAGCCACTAAACATCATACTACAGCACCAAGCCATCAGGGTGTGGAACACCATCGAAATGTTAGAAGACCCAATATTAGAAAGATTACTCAAAGATGAGATGCCCCGGTCCCACAGCTGGTGGCCCAAGAGCCTCGATTTACTAGATGAAAACCCCACCCCACAGTACATAATTCAAAGGTGAAACACTGACCAGAAATCCTTCCTCTTATAATTGGAAAAATGGAGTATGTATGTGTATGTGTATGTATGTGTATGTATGTGTATGTATGTGTATGTATGTGTATGTATGTGTATGTATGTGTATATGTATGTGTATATGTATGTGTATATGTATGTGTATATGTATGTGTATGTGTATATGTATGTGTATATGTATGTGTATATGTATGTGTATATGTATGTGTATATGTATGTGTATATGTATGTGTATATGTATAAATATGCATATAAATATATAATGTAAGTTTAGTAGTCTGTTTATGGGTATGATTTTGAAGACGGTGTGCCGTGGTCTATTCTGATTATCACTTAAGGGAAGGGTATTTGTTGCAAAAGCAAAGGTCCTTATGAACTTGATGTAATTTCTTTGTTAGTCCAAGTTGCAAAATGCACTAATGGGGGGAGGGGGAGGGGGGGCACTTCCAGCAGAGATCTGATCATCTTGTAGAAAAGGAGGTTTGTGTGCTCTGCTTTCTTGAACCTACACACACACATGCTTGCCAAGGTTGCTCTTGACCATCCCTACATGTATAAGTGTTTAGTGGGGACTAATACTCTTGATACTCATTTCATTGCCTAGTTCTGTATATTAATAGTTGTTTTGTGTTACAGGTATATTCACTGTGATGTGTTACAACGTGTTATGTGACAAGTATGCAACACGACAAATGTACGGGTACTGTCCTTCGTGGGCATTGGAGTGGGAATACAGGAAGAAAGGCATCATGGATGAGATCAAACACTACCTTGCAGACATCATAACTTTACAGGCAAGTTTTTTTTTTTTTTTTTTTTTTTTTTTTTTTTATAGCTTGACCACTTGGTTACTTTCTTAGACAAGGTCTTTATAACCCAACCTACACATGAGAAATGAAGGAAAAGTAATGATATTTTGGACTGACCTGGACCCTATTCAGTCCAGACTTGATTGGGATCCAAGATTAACCGAAAGTCACTTTCATATAATTTAAAATTTGGGGGTTGGGCAACTAGTTTCTAGCCACATTATTGTGACTTGTTCTCTGCACAAGATCTTTGTTCCCAAATGGACAAGACTTGACCCAATCAATAGAAGTCTACATTTCAAAACTGGCATAAGAGATCTTTTCAAACTGCCATATCCTGGTATAGTATAGGAAAGAGACTGCAAACTTGTCAATCCAATCCTGAAATAACCTTGATTATTTTTTTTTTTAATACACACCACAAAGTCGTTTCAAATTTAGAAATCTGCTTGTAGCCCCCTCTAATGTGTGTTAACTTCATGAAGTCTTGTAATATTTGTGCAAGATTTTTGCAAATTTACAGAAATTTACATTTCTTGTATGCATTCACATTGTTGGTAATGATTTATTACATAGTTACAGTACTGATGTGATGATTAAAGTAATAACTGTTTTGTACTTGCAGGAGGTAGAAACAGACCAGTTCTTCAACTTTTTTCTTCCTGAACTAAAGAATGATGGTTATGATGGAATTTTCTCACCAAAGTCTAGAGCAAAGCACATGTCTGAAAATGAAAGAAAATACGTTGACGGTTGCGCCATCTTCTGGAGAACTAGCAAGTGAGTATTGGTGAATTGAATATTTTTAGCGTAGAAATGATATTAATATTTGGCTTACTCTTGGCCTCACCCCTCCCATTACAGTAACGAAATACAGTACACTGTACTTCCAACCAATTGTGAAAAAACAAATAATGGTACAGTAGGAATGAGAGATATAGTAAAAAAATTATTCCTTGCACTATTGCTGGTCTGGTGTGTGCATAGTTCTGCTCAAACCAATTTTGTTGTCACTTCCTGCATGTTTTAAAAAATGTTTGTATGCCATTGAGCTATTTACACTATCTTAAACAGTTGTTGTACAGGTATGTGTACAGTATTGAAAGTAGGATATATATTATACAGTAGTGAAAATATTGTCTTAATATTTACAAAATGATAGCACTGTTTTATTTTAATGGTAGAGGTAATACTTTATAAGCTGATGCCGTGTGTTACCCACCTCTTGGCAATACAAATCAGTTCCTATGATGATGCCTGTGGTCAATATAGTTCCTTAAAGAACAAATTATACAGTATTAGATTCTGCAGACCAATATTGTGCTGTACAGTGCTACAGTTTGTTTATTTACAATTTTGTGTAGAGGTTAAAGTTTTAGGTTGTGACCAGTGACTGTTTTTATTGATGACATGCAGTAGGCACTTTGATATGACTTATGGGGGCTCCATGATTTTTAGGAACATAGTTTCCTCTTGCAGTTACAGCCTATTGGCAGAGCCTCATGTTTTGAATTAATTCATAAATATAACTCATTTTAGTTGAAATATTCCTATGTTTGTGCATATTTGCTTAGCAATAAAGGTTGAATATTTTACGTAATGTACACATCGTATGGTTGAATAAGTGATCATAATCTTCCAGAGGAGTAAATTAAGTGTGTGTTGCCAGAGGTTTGAGGCTAGAAGTGACAAGAAAATACATTACAAATTATTTATCATTGTAGATAATGTAAAATAACTTGGTGTAGAATGTTTTGATATTTAAAATGCTTAAGTGATTATACTTGTTTACCAGATTATATTTTCACTGTTGAGATAGTGAGTGCAAACCTCAAACACCTGTTCCAGTCTACTTAGCAGAAAAGTTTCACTGTTAGCCAGATTGTGGAATATGTTAAGGAATTTAGTTTTTTTTTCTTGTTTTCCTAAAAGAGCATGGATCTAGAGAATGGCATTTTATATTTTCAGGTTTACCCTGGTCAAAGAGCGATTGATAGAGTTCAACCAGTTAGCAATGGCAAATCATGATGGATCAGAAGACATGTTGAACCGTGTCATGACGAAGGACAACATTGGCCTTGCTGCACTGCTGGAGACCAAGGAAGCAGCTTGGGAGAACACAGGTGAGTTGCACAAATGTAACCGGGAGATCAGTTGTGTAGTCTTTATGTATGTGTTGCTTTTATCACATTAAACAAATATTTTAATGTTATTTTCATCAGTATTTTGAGATTTGTTTCCCAATTCTTGTTCTTTTGCATTTAGTTTATAGAGTACTGTGTATTATTTTGTTATATATTGTGACTTTATTGTTAATATTGACATGTAATTATTTTAATCATAAATGTACAATTAGTGGGCCAGCCAGAGGTTTAGGGCCCATGCAGGAATATTCCTGAAAAAAAAAAACAGAATATGGTAAGACTGGGCTTTTAACAGCAGCAGTAATAGATATCCTCCTAACATGAATTAATTATTTTTAATCTGTAAGTGGCCGACAGAAGTAGTGTTTGCTATTAGACATACAAGGTATTGGAGAGTAGTAACCTAACTCAATACTGTTACAACTTTGTGTAGGATTCCTTTAGTGCACAGGAAATTTAAATTAATGATGTGCTTTGAATAATATTTTATTTTTCATCCTAGAAGTTCTGCCAGACAAATCCCAAGTGAACCAATCTGTGCTAGTTTGTACAGCCCACATTCATTGGGACCCCGAGTTTTGTGACGTCAAACTCATCCAGGTATGTCATTTCATCCATCGTGTAATGTTTATTCTATACTTTGTAGCATCTGTAATGAATTGACATTCACAAGTTTATAAACGAATGCTGTATTCTTTTGACTTCACAAACTATATGCACAAATAGGAAATGTATTAAGTGAAACTGGTTTCTTTCAGACAATCATGTTGATGAGCGAGATACGGCAAATAATTGGTCAAATTGTTGATGAATCGCAGCACAGATCAAGATTGGGTAGAAAAATAGACCCTGGTTCCATCCAGCTTCTCTTGTGTGGTGACCTCAACTCGCTCCCAGATTCAGGCAAGTTCTGGAATAATTGCAGTACAGTATATAGTAGGTAAAGGCTATTTGATTCTACAATAATATGCACAGAAGATATGGTGAACTAATGTAATTTTTTGTAGTTGTGTAATTTTGATCTGCTTTCCTTACATTCCTCTTACATTTTCCTCCTGGCTTATGCCTTCACACTCCATGAAAATAGGAAATGGGTTGAAAGATGTGATCATACTGTGTGATATAAATAAGTGGATTTTATCAGATCTTACCAAGCCATTGATGAAAGGGCAGAGGAGTATTGATTTATTGTTTCCATAGACAGGAAAATACTTGCCATGTAAATTGGAATGATAAAAGTAGGCTGGTTCTCACAGAAGACACAATAGTTAAAGAATAAAATTAGATGGTTGGCTGATGTAAGTAACTTGGAGTGATTTTGAAGCATTGTAGCAAGAGATGTAACCATATACTGTAAATTGGTGTCAAGTGAGGGAGAGACAAGTGTTGAATGCTAAGCTGGTGTTACACCAACTTGTAAACTGAACCTATTTGGCTGCGAAAACATTCTCGAGATCCTGTCCCCCACAGTCGCTCCCATTGCTTGCTTGCATCAAAGCCTTGAGAGGGAAGGCCACCAAAAATATAATACAGTATTAAGAAAAATGAAGATATGGCTGGGACTTGACTGTGGGTGAAGAACTGCTAGAGGGCCGGGCCGGGTTAAAGTACCCCACAATTGAATCGAGACTCATTCCAGTATGCAGCATGTACAGCTCATTTCAGGATAGCAATAGGTATCCCATTTGCAGTATTGTACTTCTGCTTGAGTCTTCTGTTCTTTCAAGGATGGGTTAGGTGTTACTACTATAATTATTGTTTAATAAAGTGCGTGTTTCATCCTGTTACTGCATGTTGTGTGTAGTAATTTGAAAGATCTTTTACATTAGTGTGTGATGAGGCAACATTTTTTCAGAAAAGACAGGTATAAGCCATATTATGATACAATAATTGTTTTGAAACAAATTTTTGTTTTATAGCCATTAATTAGTACAGTATACTGAATCCGGAAAATCATGTTCTTTAATTTAATTTAATATTTTTAACTGATAAACAATAGCTGCTTAACAACTGCTGGATATAACTACTATAAATAATTAACTGGGTTTAATTTAAATTGACTTGTTCAAAAAAGTTAATGGTACCATGTAGGAAAATTATGATCTTGTTCCTTTACATTTAGAGTTGAACTCTGTACTCCAAAGGCAGTATTCACTTCCTACATGATGACTTAGAATATTCCTGCAGGGCTTCACATTTAGCGTACAGTTATTTACTTGGTCGTATTTTCCTGTCTTGAAAGTAAAGATGTAAATTATAAACTCCTTAAATTCTAATAAATAATTGACATTTCTTCTGTTTTAGGTGTTGTTGAGTTCTTAACAAAAGGCAGTGTTTCTATGGACCATGAAGACTTCAAGGGTTTTGGGTACAAGACCTGCCTACAGAAGATAGCAATGACCAAGAACAATAATTCCTTGGTTAACTCAAGTGCTAACATTTATACCCACAACTATAGGCTCTCTGCAGCATACGACTTCGCAATCATGGCATATACAAATTATACGTAAGTGTCGCCTATCGCCGTTTCATTAATGAAGTAAACGTCTATGAAGAGAGAGTTGGTTAGTGGTACCAATCATATCGGATATCTTTTACAGGCAGCACTGATGCATCATATCTGCCTCCTGCTGCTCTTATCCCTAGCTTGACCTAATTTAAATTACTGTACCGTACTTTAGTTGCATTAAATTTACTTCTTCACTTGCTTTTCCTCATATTTATTCCACATATTTATTAGTGTTTGGCTTGCTCCAAAAATGTACTTGTGTATGGTGCCAAGATAGTATTGATACCCTTTTTGACATTACATTTTAATTTAAACCTTACCTGAAATATCTCTGAAATATATTATTACATACTTCACCCCCTCATGACCCCACTCCTTCACCCAACCATACTGTCAAGTGTGAAATAATTGGTGTCCATTAATTTTGGGCAATAGTTACCCATTTTCTACATTCATCCATGTTTGTATCAAGTGCAATAATAATAAACATTTTTGTGTACACAAGTGCACGTCACTTTTCTATTTTGTTTCTAATACTGTACTGTAGCACTTTTTTGTGTAGTACACCTGAATGGTATTGTTGATGCTTGTGTCTACTTACTGCACCCAAACATTTTTCATTCAGTCCACTGCCAGTACTTGACTTTATTGCCTCCTGTTTCCAAATACATTCTCATCTTTATCATCTAACAGTTTAAACTTTGCCTCTCTTCTCCCCCCCCCCCCCCCCCCCCCCTCCCTCATTCCCTACCAACTACAAATACCAATGAAGGGGCAAAAGTTACAACCCCAACCCTAGACAAGTGAGAGCAAATGTCTCGTTCTTTCCACTGAAGTGTTCCTAATTATCAATGAATGATATTGCATTAACTTTGCAGCATTCATCTAGTCAGCAGTTGACTCAATTGCTCTAGACAGCCATTTATTTTTGACTCCCATTCATGTAAGAATGCCATATATGAAAGGGAAACCTTCATTTGCTCGTAACTCAATGGGTGTCTTAAATTTGTACTAGTGTCTGACTCCTAACTTAATTCTGAATTCAATTCTTAAATTATTACTTTTTTAAAGTTGAAATACTTTACTTTTGCAAGTTTTTAATGAAATTCTATTTAATTCCTTGCATATACAGAATTTTAAATTGGATTCTGATAATATATCAGTTTCTGATATTTGGATTTATTTACTCCATAAATTTTCTTGTAAGATCCTTGGGAAAAAAAATAGGTGAATAAAGAAAAATGCCTAAAATTAACTCTCTAATATTTTGAATAAATAGTTTTGGGTGTAATGATATCAATTTCTCTAAACTTTTAATGAAAAGTTTAGTAACAAGGTTTATTATTTTAAGAAATAAAAGCCGGCGAGATGTCGTATTTTTGTAATTAAAGGAACTTATAAGAACCCAATTCTCGTACATATACTGTGCGTGATGAGACATCATGTGACATGTCATACTCTAAGGGTTAATGGGTATAAATAAGTCATTTTGGTGTATTATGAGTATAAAGTGGCACTTGTAGAATTTAAATGGACATAGAATGGAAGTTCATTATTGGAGGTAGAAAATGATTTATAGTATTACTGTAATTATAACTTCTGGCTTTCAGGTATGACTTCAAAGGGATTATAGACTACATCTTCCACAGTTCTGATACCATGTCATCTCTAGGAGTTTTAGGGCCAATTGACCCTGACTGGTTTAGAGAGAACAAGGTCATGGGTTGTCCACACCCTCATATCCCATCAGGTAAGAAACCTTACGTGTACATGTCTACTTTAGTGTAGTGTAGTGTAGTTACGTGTACATGTCTACTGTTCATCTTTCTTGCAAATACAATATGATGTGGACAATTTTAACTTCATCCCCATTTCCTTCATAGTGTGTAAGGCAGTAAGGTAAACACTAACCCAAATATTAGTTAAATATTCAAGAGTGACCAACCTCTGACACTGGAATATCAGGGGAAACCTAGTACATTAGAGCATACATCGGCAGTGGTTGGGCCAAGTACATACCTGGTTTAGGAATTCTCACCAATTTTAAAATTCTCAGAGCCTGCCCAGCATAAAAAACTTTTGCCTTTGTCTTATTCTATGAGGGTATCTGTGGTATGTGGGGGTACCTT